TTTGTTATTCTCCTGAATCATAGGATGGTATCAAGTGACCTTCAAAAGGAACTGGAAACATTAAGTTGTATTTATTCTACAAAAAAGGGGGTGAATTTACCCAAAGTAAACTACAGCCAAACAGAACTTATCTACCAATAGAGTGTGTCAAATAAGTCAGTGATGTTGCTGTGAGTTTTCAACAGACACAAAGCAGTGCGGACAAATGCAATGTGATTATTGCGCATGAAGATGCTGAAACGATACATGGTGCAGCCCTTGTCAAAAGCCGTCAAGCTCAGAGTTTGAGATTTTTAAACACATTCAGAGAAGGCGAGGAGTTTAAATTCAATATATCTTGTAATGTGTTCCACTCATGTGGTGCATAAGAACAAAAGGTGGATTTCCTCAGTTCTGTGCGTGTGGTGGGAGGCTGAAGGAGAAGTTTAACTGATGAATGGGTTCTGTATGTATTAGTGTGGAATGTCAGCAAACTACATATGTACTGTTGGGCATGAACCCCAATTTGCCCATTAAAGCCTTTGCAATAAAAACAAGGCAATGCATTTTCCTTCTAAGACGTAATGATGTCCACTCCACCATCTCATCTTCTATTATCTCCATTAGTGCCGTTATTTCTGACCTATTTTGTCTGATCCCAGGAAACTGATTAATATATATTTTACTGACCAATCTGAGGACAAGTATACTGCTGTTATTCTCAACAGTATCTGAATACACTACTGAGATACAGCACATCAGGCTCTGCCAGTTAGTTTCATGCATGGGCCAGTTTTTCCAACAGTGCTCAATAGGGGTCAGTATAGTTTTACAGAACCATGAAATTGAAGTTTTCTTTGAGACTGACTTATTTTTTAAATAATATTTATAAATTGTCGTCTACATCAGATGGCTGTGTGATACCATCTTACATTTTTTAAACAAAAACTAAAAACAGAAGCCTCTTTCAGGCCCGTCGGACAGCATTTGCTGACTTTCCCAGTATTTCATTTTACCCAGCCTGGTTTTTAATTTAGTTATTTGTCTAACAAAGTCAGCACCTTAAAAGTAATTCCCCCTGTTGAAATGGGAAATTAAATCCAGCCTTGATCCTGTGCGATATAACGACACAATTAACTATACATAAGCCACTTAAATCAACTGTGCACTGGTCTTTGTGTCTCACACGTTAGATTGCCCCCTGCTTAGCAACTCTTCGTCTCCAGCAGACGACTACGACTGCAATGATAATTATAATCCCAAACAGAACAGGGATGATAATCGGCCAGAGCGTCGCGGAGTCTGGCCCAGCCTCTGGAAATGCAAAACACACACAAACACAGTGACACTGTTTCATATTCACACATCTATCAATTTATTTTCTACCCAGGAAAATTCTCAGAATTTGTGTCCAGCTGTGTCATTGTACACTGTGAGACCTCAAGAGTCTGCCAATTGTAGCATAGAGCTGTAGGTACTTGTACCTTTTAAGATACAGAAATGGACTATGAGAAACATTTTTCGTGCCATTGGGGGTATATTAATGCTGTTCATATACCTTGTGGTTCTTCCCCAGAGTCCAATTCTGTACCTTAGACTAAAAGGTGCATTTACCTACAGCTATCGGGTACAATTGGCAGCCCCTTGAGGGTACAGCCCCAGTGACACACAAAGGTACAAACTGGTACTCTTTTTTTCTGTCAGTGTATAGAGTTAGAGGTATCTTACCCAGGTTCACGGTCAGCTTGTTTTCTGGACTCAGGTGTGTGACAGTGCAGGTATACTGGCGTTTCAGCTCCTCGTCACTGACCCTGAGGCTCCTCCTCTGCTGATAGGTCCCATCTCCATTGGGTAGCACAGTTCCTGCCGTCACCTCCCGGTCTGGGATTGGTTGACCATCTCTCAGCAGGGTCATATTGATGCATGGAGGGTAGAAGCCTGTGGCCAGGCAGGTCACTTCTGTCCTCCCAGAACCTGGGTGAGCTTTCTTCATCACCCTGACTTTGGGGTGTACTGTACAGGGAGAAATCATCATTCATTCATTCATTCATTCTTCTATACTGGTTGTGCTACACAGGGTCATGGGGTTCCGGAGTCTATTCCGAAAATAATGGGTGCAATGCAGGGAATAATCAAATAATATAAATATTAATCAGTTTTGACTATTGTGTAGCATAACCCACACCTGTTTTCAGTTTTTATCTGAATACAAAATATATTTTATACACTTTTGGAGTGTGTCCCTGGGAATTTTTGCAGATTAATCCAGAAGAGCATTTGTGAGGTCAGGCACTGATATTGGACATGAAGACCTGGCTCACAATCTCTGTTCTAGTTGATCCCAAAGATGCTCAGTAGGGTTCGTGCCCAACAGTCCCTGTGGGTGTAATGGCCAGGTGCCCCAATACCCATATAGTGTATAATCAATTTCAGTTTCATCTAATCTTTATTAAACCCATGACCCAGACCAAGATAAGCAGTTAGAACATTGATAGATGGATGCTCTTTATTTACTTATATATGCAATAACTATATATTATCACATCACCTCTCCTCAGTAGAATATTCTTGTCCTGCTGCAGATAACTCCTCAATATCGAGACACACAGTGGCTGGTATAGCTTTGAGAACAAGCTTTGCATGGCATCCAATACACTCTGGTTCCAAAGGAATTC